CAAAAAAAGTTAAACTATGAAAGCAGTAATGGGTGATTTATATTGATTAGATACAATGATCAAGGTCTTGTACTTACCAGTACCACGGAGAACATTTGAGAAGGCACCCTTGAAGAACGCAGCACTACCTTCATTCTGGCAATCTTCTTCCAGCAATCAATGGTGTTCTTGTACATGATATCAGCACCCTTGCGACCGGACTGCATCATCATGCGCCTACGCACAGTGTCGAAGGGATAAGAGATGATGCCGGAAATGGTGGTCACGGTCTGTGCAATAGCCCATGAGAGGATGATGCCAGCACTTCTTAGGATCAGGCAACATGCCCTTAGCTGTGTCGTAGAAACCGAAGAAGGCGGCACGGTAGATAATGATACCCTGCACAGACACTCCGAAGCCACGGTACAAACCCATGATGCCATCAGCCTTGAAGATCTTAACAAGACAGTCTCCCAAACCATTGAATTCACGCTGACAGCCCCTTGCCAATATCAGCAGCTAACCTGCCAGTCAAGAAATTTAGTCATTAAAATACAGAAATAGTGGTAAAACCATACTTCCTCTCATACTTCTGCTAAAAAGTTTGTCAAAAAAAATGCAACTACTTTCATTCAATAGACTTGGAAAGGACTGATAAAATGCGGTTACAATAGAAACTAAATGAATTACAAATATATAATTTAAGACAAGAATGCACATTAAGACTTTCCATAAACATTGCATACTGTACAGGGAGAAATTATGACCAATGGGATCTAAATAAAGGCTTTACTTAGCAACACCATTTTCCTTTCACATGAATTCAAGCTATTACACCTACATGGAACACTTCATAATGCTGCCCCTCTAAAAAAGACCCACAACCTAAAACTCACCTGGTTCGAGCGAAATCAAGGGGGTAGACGAAGCAAAGGGAAGTTGCACCAGCAGCACCACCAGAAGCCAAGTTACCAACGAAGAACCTCCAGAACTGTGTCTTCTTGTCTACGCCACCGAGGAAGATCTACAAGAGGATAATTCATAAAATTGTATAATCAATGAATTTTAAGATTACATGGTATGTATTACTACAGAGAAAACCATCTTAAGGAGAGGCATCAACATTCAATATTGAACAGAAATTTTGCATTAAGAATTAGTTGATACACTGGGTTTCAAATTGGTCTAATTCTTGCCTCGAACTGTTATTCCGAAGTTCATTTGGATTCAGATTATATTACCTTAAGGAATGGAATATGCCTTTCAAGATTAACATAACACCTCGCCAAAAAAGTAGTTGGGGAATCAGGGATACCATCAATTCCCTAGTATTAACTATTTAAAAAAACACTGACTGCCATTACATTTAGCATGATTTTCTCATTATATTTTTCGACGCAACAGTATAATCTATTGAACATACAACTTCATTATGGCACAGTTCAACTGGCCTTGTGTACATGCAGGTCTTTTCGTAAGCATAGTTATCTGGGCCAAATTGTATCAATTTGGTGCCAAACCTGGAGCCTGAAAGGATCCCATGACAAAATGACCTAGTGCGTTCTTATTCCTCTGTTATTTCCTGGCTTTCCGGATTGCCAGAAACTATTGGTTAATTTGCTCAAAATCTTTAAGTATCTAAATAAACTAAAAAAAATTATATTCTATATAAATCATTTATAGTAGTTATTGTTTCTCTTAAAAAGGGCTAATCTTGAAAGTTGACGTCCTGTCAGACTAGTGTTGACAATTTTGTATCAATCGGTTTGGCCTTTCTAAAATATGCCATGAAATATTTTCTGATTTTGTTTCACAAGTCCTTGTGCTCCATGTTCCTCAAAAGATGTACTACAAGTAGGGTCATTCAATCAAGAGGCATACAAGGTCTAGTAAGCTATACTTTTCGCAGTTGGAACTACGCCTGGCTGGGTATTCTTGACAAGTCATGTCCTAGACAAGAAAGGCCAGTTGAACCATGCCTTTATACAAGCTATCTAATCAAGCAGTATTAACAGCATTTTATACAGGTTATCTAATCAACAGCATTATTACTGGTATTTCATATCAACACTTCCAGACATTAAACCTGATAATGAATACACTTAAGAATGAATGCTTAAAAATGAATAGCTCATGTATAAACACTTCCAACAGCAAATTCAGAGGTAACCCAAATAGCAAGTTATCCATAAGATACTGTCCAAAAGGAAATGTCAAATTAGCTTTTCCAATTGAAGTTCTTTAAGCAGAACAGATTAACAAAACTTACCTGCTTGTACTTGTCCTTGAAGGCGAAGTTGAGAGCCTGGGTGGGGAAATATCGGATAACGTTGGCAAGGTTACCACGCAGTATGCAAGAACACCCTGTTCCTTTGGGATGCGGACAAAGCAATCAACCATGCCTGTGGAAATTAAATTAATATTAGAGAAACTTTTAAATTCAAAAGGCATAGCCTACATTACAAATGTGTTAAATGTTCATCTTAGCTCCTGATGTTAAACCACATGAAAAGCTTAACATCTGACTTGCTGATAAACTGCTCTTCACCCAATAAATCTTCGCCGCAAAAAAAGTTACTACGAACACAGAAAATGGGCGATAGCCTGCATAACTGTAGTTTTACAAAAAAATAATGACTATTTTGGCATAGTTGGTTTCACAGGTATAACCTTTGCTGGTATCTGTTACCGAGACCAAGGCATCCTCCAGAAACAGTCCAAAACCAGGGCACCAGGTGAACCCAAAAATAAAAATCTAACCCTTTTTTATTAATTACCTAGACAGAGGGGCAAGCAACCCTGTAGCACACTACATTAACACTTTGCCAACTCAGAAAATTTTTTAAGATCTTCGGGTCTGTGAGGAGGATGTGGATTCTAGCTCTGAGCAGCAATGAGCAGATCTCTATTCACAGATAAATATGATGCTGCTGCAGCTATGTCTGTTTATGACTTGCCTGCAATGAATAGTACAAAATCTTTTGAAAGTTGGAAAGTTCTGCAACCCTTGCATTTACAGAAAAGTCTAATGAGGCTATAATAAAGGTAAGAGCTCAATGATACATTAAATCTTTAAGAAAATAACACCAGTAACAAAGATATTGGGTAGCAATAAATGTCTTGCAGTTAGCAAGTCCCTGTTGATTGGGCAAGGGTGAGGGGTTAAGCATGGTTTAGGGGTTCAAATGATTGAAGTATTAGGAATAATCTCAGATTCGATCAGTTACCAATATTTTTTTAATCTGCGATGGAATACAAGATTCACGCATAATACAGTGTGAATAACAATCCATAATAATTACAAAGTTAGATGGCTGAAACTAATTAAAATTCTGGCAACATCCAGAAAATGTGTGTTGCATTTATAGGCCTAGACAGCAATTTATGCAAAGACTATGATGGTACTGGAATATGTGCACTTACATTTACAGTTTCACATAGCAACAATTTTAAATATCCATTTGTGGTATTCACATAGCAACAATTTTAAATATCCATTTGTGGTAAACTAATAGGATGTGTGTAAACTGATGCAAGGGGCTACTTCATTCAGACTATGCCTGTCAACATGACCACCAAATGTAATGCAACATCTTATCAGCAGATAAATATGAGTAACGTTCCACGCAAGGGAAGTATTCTACAGAGGAAAAATAAAATTTCAATCTGAACAGTGACCTAGAAGATCTCTGGCCTTCACCCACCCTCCTGTGCCAAAAATAGCCCCACTTTGGGCCAAAACCTTTGCCCGTCCCCTGCTACACACAGTGCCAATGCAGTGGACAATTATATTATCCAATTCCATTTCTCAGAAGGCAATAGATACCGCATTTGAAAGCTACAAAATAAAAAAATGCTGGTTATAAAGTTGTTACACGCATCTTGCCAAAGTGCAAACATGCAGATACACATGAGAATGTAATCCTGTTAAGAGGAGTATTAGTGAATTTCCTCTTCAGTAATACTAATAACAGGTTAAAGAGAACATATGCCAATTTACTTTAAGCTACACGTTCGTTTAACCAACTTCACCGCAAATACACGGGTTAATTTCATTAGTCCTAATCTATATCAAATACGAAATAATTTTGAAACTGCTCATTTTACCCTTTTCCGACTAAATATTGTGGGGAAACTACGCATTTTGACGTAATATTCCGTTCCTTTTACAAACTTGTCCATTCATTTGAGTACAATTGAATCAATATAAAATCAACGAAGCCTGTAATCTATTCCCAATACCCACTCATCCACACAATCATCCATTAGGATCAGTGAATTCGCAGAGAATCACTTTTTCCCCGGCCTAGATTCGCACCCAAGATGGCCGGTCGAGTCAGCTGATCCAGCCGGCTTCGCCCTCAAGCCTCGTTTCTCACCCGATTTAGACTCAAACTTCAATTTATTCTTCCTCCAACCTCGTAATCTGTCCCCCTTCCCTCCGATGTGCCCTTATTCGCCCTCGCCAACCCCTGCAGACGGCCCTGGGCGCCGGCAGGAGGGATCGATCGGGCATTGCGTAAGCAAGATGGCGACTCACCCTTGTACGCCTTGTCGGCCGTGATCTGCTTGGAGGCGGCCTGGACCTGCAGCAGGAGCTTCACCCTCTCGATGGGCGCCACGGCCGTCTTGGAAATCGCGGCGGCGATGCCACCGGCGATAAAATCCTTGGCGAAGCTCATAGGATCGAAGCCCTTCGACATGGTGGTGGAGTGTGTATAGCAGCGTCCTTGTCTAACAAAATCCCGAAGGTGAAAGAGGCCGAAGCACAGATACAGCAGAAGGACTATACTAATAGTCTATCTCTCGACCAATCAGGATGCAGGATTTGAACGACGTCATCGAGGACACGGCTGATAGCAAGGATTTTGACCAATCACAATGCAGGATGTTTCCGACGTCATCGATACGTAATGTGACGTTATTTCCGCTGCGGCTGGAAAATGTTTGAAAGATGCAACCCCTGAGTTAGCAGACGATAATTTGTGCCACGTGTTGTACCGGTTTTCATGGAATACTTG